CGCTCGCGCATCTCCCGCTCGATGCGCTCCTCGACGCCCGCCTGGCGGCCGTCCGCGGCCCTGCGCACGTCGCCTGCGTTGACCGCCGCGCAGGTGAGCACGTCGATCTCGAACGGGGGCGCCCACGCGCCGCCGTCGTCGCGGAAGACGACGACGCCGGGCGAGTAGACGATCGCGTGCGTGTAGAGGCCCTGGCGCCCGCCGGCCGGGGTGTTGTGCAGCTGGTGGAAGGCCCTCGACTGCGGGGCGAGCAGGGCGGGGTACAGCGAGGACGCGCGCGCGATGGACTCCTCCTGCGCCTGCGCGCCGTTGATGAACCCGCCGCCGGGCTTTGTGGCGGACGCGAAGTTGAGGACGCCGATCTTGCCGCGGGCGGCGCCGTCGGTGCGGTCGTGCACGCTGGCGAGCATGCGCGCGCAGTCGATGGTGGAGATGGTGAGGATCTTGGACTTGGTCGTCGGAGGACCCGAGGGGCGGGAGAGGAAAGAGGGGAGGTAGGAGCGCGAGCCGGACGACCAGTTGGACAGCGCGTGGGGGGCGTAGTAGCGCGTGCGCTCTTTGCAGGCGGCGATCTGGGGCGCAATGTTGTATTGGATCCCTGCGTACGTGTAGGAACCCGACTCGAGCACGCTCAGCGTTTCGCTGGCGAGCTTCCGCAGACCAGCACGTACATTCTCGTCGAATGCAGGGAACGACATGGTGGAGATGGAAGATAGGGGAGGTTAGCGATACGGATATCCGAAGCCCGCAGGAGCGAAGGTTGAAGGAAGTGTCTACTCTTCTGCTTACAGGAGACTAGGTTTGGTGCGAGTGCTTGGTATTCATTCCATGCTAATGACCAGGTAGGCGCGTGCACAGATTCAGATTAAATTCGCCAAGGACGGCCACACATCTCATCTTCGCAGCAGGTACAAACCATAGATCATGGACCACGGAGGGCTGTCTGTGACAGTGTCATAGAGCAATCACCAGAGCGAGAGGACACAAGATAATCAACACGTTCGTTGCTTCCATGATTCAGCTCTGAGCGCGGCATTGCTTTCCATAAGTGAGTAAGGACTACAAAGCTGTATGCCCATAAAATCATTCAGATTCCGCGGCTGGTTTTTGCCGTCCTCGCTCGTGTGCCTCAGGACCACCTGGTACTATGTACTGGCTCAATATACTCGAAGAATCTATTTTTCAGCCTGCCCTGTGCCCACAACATGCAGAAGCCATCTGCCTCGCGGTGACGATGCGACCTGTCGCGCTATCCCCTCAATTATATATCCGACTCAGTACGTGCCGCGTCATACTTGGTATGTATTCATGATTGAGAGTCACAAGCCACATTACCGCCAGTGTTACTGACCACCAGATCAATCTATCCTCCCGACAAACATCAACGTCACCAATAAATACTATATAGTACATCTGGGAAGAACCAACATGAATAATCACAGCTCGTCCGCTCAGGTCAATCCTCATAAATAATGAGCGAGTTGACGCAGATGGCGTCTTCGTTATAGACGATCATTTCGGGGTATTGTACAGATCCCCCCTGCGCGAACGTCGCGGCAGTCACCTATGAGAGATCCAGTCAGGATGACGGCACCTGCGAGACGACACGGCACGCTCACCGAGTCGCAGCCATCGGGCGCTCTTCGCAGGCCGTGTTTCCCTTGATACAACGTCTTGGTCCGGCCGAGTGTGACGTTCGCGTACAGCATGGCCTTGTAGCGCGAGTGCGGGCTGCGCGCATAACCGTCGGCCTCTGATGGGACGCGGTGCAGGCGAGTCAGTCTATCAGCATCCGCGGCGGCACACCAGACGAGGCTTACTTGAAGACACAGGCGCAGTGTAGACGCCGTGCCCGAACATCCCATCGCCTGAGGTGCAGAGTGCTCAGAAACAGACGTCGCGCGGCATCACTTCACACGCATCGACTTACGGGATTTGTGCGGGTCGAAGGAGCAGCGCAGGATGGCGCAGAGCTTGCAGTCCGATCGGCTGCATGGGTGGATGCTTCCGGGGGTGTCGCCCGTCGTACAAGTACGGAGAGTCCCGTGGAATAGCATCCTCTCGTTTCCGTGCCGCTGCCTGTACAAGATCTATCAGACGGGGAGCGTATAGCCAGACAGCTGGCAATGTGACGGACATGTAGGCTCTGTTTCGCTGGAGGTGGGCTCTCGAATTCGGGCTTTGGTGGAGGAGGTAGAACATGTGCTTTATCTTGGGAGTCCGCTTGTTCGGGGACTGCCAGGACGAGTAGAATTCACGTTCGACTGTATTAGGGGTTAGGACGCATAATGTGGTGCAGCAAGACGGACGATCGTACTATTGCGAGCGAATTGATCATTTGGATTCAAGTACAGCAGAGACTGCATGCGCGAGTGAGTGAACCATTGTCCGGACAAGGAAACGCGCGGTTAAGCGCACTCACCACAGCCATGATAAGATTTAACGAGGATTGAGAAGATTGAGACGAGGTTCAGGTGTGCTCAGTGATGCAAGGTTCATGCAGCTATGGACGAACCTCTTCTAATTTATATTCTTTCAGTACATGGCGAGAAAGATTCGCACAATTCCGCCAAAGCCACTAACAGTTGACCACCGCCCTCTCATGATGTGCGCATGTCTTGGCCAGCCGGAGGCAACAAATCAGCGTGAGCTGTATAATGCGCATTCGCAATTGAAAGGCCTGCGGTACACTCCGTCGCCTCTGGAATGGAAGCAAGTGAAATGTGTGTGTGACTCCAGTATCATGGCCTCCAATCAGAGCTTCCTGACGATTTGTTCATCATCGGTCCAGGCACAGGCTCGCGCATATACGGCAAGCGCATGTCAGATATTCAATAGTCTCGGCAGAAGATCAAACCACACGAGCTTCCCAGAACGGCGTACATCATGCATCAACCGCCGTATCAGATACTTGGGTCGTTTGAGACACTACGGTGGCCTCCAAGGGTCAGACGTGTGGTCCCCGTCTTCGACACGCGGAGGCGGCCACATTCGTGCATCTTGCGCAGCCTGGTCCTAGTCCGCAAAAAGCTCAAGTTGGCCGTGAGATGAGAACGTACCGTAAGCCTGGTGGCTCTTTGTCTGCCTGAGCGCATCTAGACCGGGCGCATGGTGGATCTGGAGTGGCTGGTACCGTCCGCACGGCGAAAGATAGGTGATAGACGAGAACATCGAGGGGGTCAAGCTTCGGCTTGGACTAGCTTGTCGTCAGTTTGTTACTCTGCCGCCGTGCTCTGCTACGCGGACGACATCTTTGTCTACGCCGGCTCGTTCGCATTTTCTCGTCGTGATGAGCGCATATATACGGACGGTAGTACGCCCCGGGCGGATATTCCCCAAAGGCCACCATATGGGGGCAACATCATAAAGTCGCACCGCGTTGCGCTGGAGGCGTCGTTCCAGAGGCTAGGTACTACAGCCCTTCCACTGCGTAGACTCCCGACGTGTTTACCAGAAATGTTAGGGAATTCAGGCGGTGGATATGCTTTGTGCATGCGCGAGAGAATTCAAATGGGAGCATATTATCGGAATCGCGAGTACTTCCAATACATAGATATACACAACTCGCCTTCAGTAGATCTTCGAAATCAACGGATCCAGTACATACTATAAGAATTACCAGTCGTCGCTGGGGTCGTCCACAACATCCAACGGTGGCCAAAACGAGTCCACGTCCACCTCATCTTCTATGCCACTTTCCTCTTCTCCCCGTTGCTGGAGTGGGCGCCGGCCAGACGCTTTAAGCATGCGAATCGCTTTCCAGAACATGCCCTCCGCCTGTATAGTAGCTGAGTCCGCGTTTTCGGGAAGGCGGCGTGAGCTCGTCGGTGCAACAATGACAGGTGATGTGTCGGGTCTGGACTCTGACGACGGATCCGCATGTTGCACGTAGAACAGCGTGAACAGTGGCTGTATGGTTGTCGCGCTGTGTTGTACCGTCAAAGCGAGAGTTGCGGCAAGGTAAGGACGCAATAGTTCTTCTGCCGAGCGATTGGAATTATCCAGAAGAGGCATGGAGACATAGAGGGCCCCTAGGTTGTGGATTTTTATTAGCCCAAATACACGGAAAATGCTGGACGACATGACCTACATTTGCCTCGCGGTGTAGACATACTACTTTCACCAGCGACCAAAACATTGACTGAAACTGTAGCAGATCCTTCCGGTAGTGAGCCCGGAGGAAATACCAGCAATGCCGTATCAATATCCGTAGCAGCATGCGAAGACTCGTTCTCTTCAACATAGGGATTCTCCCCAGCGGAATGGTCGATCGCGGTTGCTTGAGATTCCAAAAATGAGATTGGCTGGTCGATAATGGCTACGCATCTCGCCACTGCGTGAGCACTGTGCGTGGTAGACTGATCATCAGGCCGCGCCTCCGTTGTTCCAGGAAGATACTGTGAAGGCAAATAGTCCGGCGAAGCTACTATGAGACAGCATGTAAGCTGTTCGGGAAGGTCTTCCAGTTCAATCTTGAACTTCAACCTCTCATCGACTGAATCACTTTTAGGCCGCTCAAGCGACGCAATCTGTCGGCCAAGAATGTACGTTGTACCGTTCACAGCGGCGGTGCGACAAAATCCTTGCGCAATTTCGCCGAGCCCGCCGTAATGACCGACCAGGAACGGCGAAGGGCCATATCGTCCTGTAGAACGCAAGTATTGCTTGATACGGTGTAGGGCAGGAAGCGTCGGATCTGCATACAGATATGAACAATCGACTAGAGCGGACATGTGTAACATATACCTGACGGGGAAATGCAAAAGGCCAGCGCATACGCAATTGCGTTGGCTGAGCGATGATCCAGAGAGAATGCATCTTTCAGAAATTCCACGAAAGGTATCTCTGCCTTGCCTTCGATTTCCTTCGTTGTCTCGAAATCACCAGAAGCGAACATCAGGAATCGCATTAGCCTGCGCTTGTCCACCAGCGAGAGTTCCTTGCTCTTGAATACGTCCTCCTTGCTCCCAGGTACAGCCTTGACGGAGCCAGGACCGTCGTAGATGGCCACTTTCTCGAGCAGCTTAAAGCCCCCATAGCGAGATACGCCCGAAGCAATGAGAGCATCGATCAATGGGCCAGCCGACGGAATGATAGTAGGAGCAAGAGACAATGAATATTGTCGGGACTGCGCGAGCGAAGATGAACTACAGGAGATAGATGTGAATTTAGCTCGCTGCGAACGCGTATATGGCGATGCAGCATCGCTGCTGGTGCAGTGAGAATCCGCCCAAGCTGCGAGCTCGTCGAGAGTGAGAGAGGCTTCATCACCGCCATAGTATGGATTGGCATCGACGTGAGCCACGCTAAAACCCGCTTTCGAAAGTGCGCTGGAGACAAGCTGAGATAATGCGACAAAGACACAGCAGTATCATGCTCACGCAGCTGTGATAGATTCAGATAATCCAGTTCCGAGCACGACGACGTCGACATCCATCTTCAAGTCCTGGTGAAGGCGCGTCTGTACTCGCGAAGTCCCGACCCAGTCCCTCATGCCGAGGAATTGCCGAGAACGGCGGGGCATTGCCACATATAAGGAAGGTTTCTCCCACGGCTGTTGCCGTAGTTTTTCGTTTCCTTTTCGGAAAATTTGCGGTTTCCCTGGATCTCTCCCAACACCTCTGCTCTCCCTGAGTCCCTCCTCCTCACGATGGCCAAGTCAGCAGATAAGAAGGCGGACAAAAAGGCGGAAAAGAAGGCTTCTAAAGCCTCCCTCAAGGCAGCGGCTGCTGCGAAAGAGGTTGCTCCCCCCAAAGCCAAGCCAATATCATCCAAGGAGATTATAGCCAAAGCCAAAGTACTTTTCAACACAGTAGCATTTCCTGACCTACAGCTCATGCATTTCATTCTCTGCAGAGCAAATCAAAGGCTAGCAAGAAGAAGCAGGAGAGCAGCAGTGAAGAGTCGTCAGAGTCTGACGCTCCTGCCCCCAAAACTCAAGCAAAGCAAACGGTAAGCTCTCTTGGCCCTCTCTCAACACTAGGAAGAGCTGAAGAGTTTGTATCTCACACAGCCTGTGAAGGCACCAGCTAAAGCGGCCTCCTCATCCAGCGACGATTCAAGTTCTGAGGATGAGGCTCCCAAAACCGCCCAAGCCGACAACGCGAAAGCCAATGGCAAGGCAAAGGCCGCACCTCCGGCCCCGTCATCAGATTCAGAAAGCAGTGATTCCGAGGACGAGAAGCCGAAAGCGGCGCAAGTAAAAACCACCCCTAAAAAGGCTGCATCTTCATCGAGCGACAGCGACAGCTCGGAAGACGAGGAACCAAAAAAGGCTATCTCCACCCCTGCCAAAGCTGCGGCTACCCCTGCCAAAAAGGCGACGCCGGCCAAGGTCGTCTCAACGCCCGCAACAAAAGCTGCCCCGGCAAAAGCGGCAGCTAAGTCGGACTCAGACGACTCAGATGACGACAGCGACGAGAGCAGTTCGGAGGACGAAGCCCCCAAGGCTGCCGCGGCCCCTGCCAACGGTGCTGCTGCGAAGCAGTCGTCGGATGAGTCGGGTTCAGAGGACAGCTCAGATGACGAGGAAGATTCGGATGTCGAGATGGCCGACGCTGCTCCGTCGGCGCAAAAAGGCAAGCGCAAAGCCGATGACGACGCGGCGGCACCCGCGAAAAAGGCCAAGGTGGCGAATGACGATTCTGCGGCCCAGGGCGAATCGGGTGCTAACAAGTCGATTTTTGTCGGGAGGCTGTCATGGAACGTCGACAACGAGTGGCTTGCGCAAGAATTCGCCGACTGCGGCGAGGTTGTATCTGCGCGTGTCCAGATGGATCGCAACACAGGCAAGTCGCGCGGCTTCGCATACGTGACGTTCGCAACCGCGGAAGCTGCCCAGGCTGCACTGCAGCTTACCGGCAAGGAGATCGATGGCCGTCCAGTTAACATCGACATGACCACCGAGCGGGACCCGAACGCCGCCCGTCAGAACCGCGCCGCCGCGTATGGGGACAAGCCCAGCGAGCCGTCGGCAGTCCTGTTTGTCGGCAACCTCAGCTTCAGCGCGACGGAAGACCTGCTGTGGGAGACATTCAGCGAGTACGGCGACGTGAAGAGCGTGCGCGTGCCGACGGACCGCGAGACCGGCAGTCCGAAAGGGTTCGCGTACGTCGAGTTCTCGGACGTCGAGACGGCCAAGAGCGCGTATGAGGGCGTATCGGGCAAGGAGATCGCAGGCCGTGCCGTGAGGCTCGACTACTCGCAACCCAGAGATTCTAATGGTGGTGGAGGCCGTGGTGGACGTGGTGGATTTGGGGACAGAGGTGGACGAGGCGGATTTGGGGACCGAGGTGGCCGAGGTGGCCGCGGAGGCTTTGGGGACAGAGGCGGTCGCGGTGGAGGACGCGTAAGTTTGAGTTGCCCATGAACATGTCCCATAAACTGATCCATCACTTTGTAGGGCTTTGGCGGACGTGGTGGAGGCGGTCGCGGCCGAGGTGGTGATCGGGGCCGTGGTCGTGGCGGCGGTCGTGGAGGACCCCGCACCGGCGCAATTGCCGCTTCCGAAGGCAGGAGGGTGACCTTCGACGACTAAACCCATGTTTTGTCTTGCTTGATTTTATCCTGTGTATCTGTTTATGGATTGTGCGGCATGCCATGCTCCACGTTCGCCTTACGCTGATGACGACACAGAATGCATCACCAGTGTTGTTGGACGTATATATCATGGTTGAACAATAAAAGGCACATGTATGACACATGGAGAGATTAGTGACATGTATGTTAGATACAGTGGTAAGTCTGTGGGTATACGACAGTATGAACAGTGATGTGAGGCAGGAGCTTCAATCAAAAGACTACTAAACAAAGTGAACATCAAGCGTCGTGCGCAATAACATAAAGGGATGGCGGTCAAAAATAATTACGGCCGAACAAAATCATTTGAGCAAAATGTGGATATGAATCGCCACTAACCCAGACGTCCTTCTTGGGCAGCCTTGCGGATCGGATTCTGGCTAGGTTGGATGGCGCCACTTTTCTCCAAGCGATCGAACAAGACGAACAATTTCTCGGCTTCGCGTTCCTTCTCCTCGTCGGTCATTTCAATCTCCTGCTTGGGCTGCTCCGCGATCCCAGTAATAGGGTTGATGGGTACACCGGACGGCGTGGCCGCCGGTACGGTAGACGACGACGCACGAGCGGGCTGCCCCGTGATACCTTTATGGAACAGGAAGCCTGCGACATTGCCGTACCCGACGTACGACGCAAGTAGGCTCGCTGAAGAACCAGAACAACAGGTAAGGAAAGAGGTTACACTGAAGAACGCACGGCCGTACCGTCTGAATCGCATATAGAATACAGCATCTCCCCCACGGCAGACTTGAGCCGGGCGTGGTGCACCGATTGTAACAGCCGCAGACAGCGGCCCAAGAAATCCGCGCGCCCCTCCAGCGGGGACGTCCTGTCTAGATCCGCGGGCAAGATCCACTCACGCATGCGCACCCGCGTCGCCTCGTCTGCGACACAGACCTTGTTGATCAGCAGCACCAGCGGCACGAGCACGTCGTCTAGGCTCGCGTTTCCCTCTGCACGACACCGCTCCCGCACGCTAGAATCGTCCGAGTCCACCGCACCCGGCAAGTAATGGGTCAGCGACACGTCCAGTAAATCGTACGCCCGCAGGAGCAGGTCTGCCGCGGGCGTTGTCGGTGATCCGGAGCGCGACAGCGACCGCCGCCCGACCGTCAGCGCAGAAAATGCGCGGTCGAACGCATTATGCTTCAGGTCTTTTGCTGGCCCGAGGGTCGGCGACCCGTTGTTGCTTGCGCTCGCGCTGCCCGGCGACGAGTCCCGGCCCTTCACTATCGGACTTCGCGGAGACGACAGCGGGAACCACTTTGGTCGCAGCGATGATGTCACGGGGATTGTAATCAGTGAGTGAATTACATGTGTTAGCGGCGCAGCCAGAGGCGACGGCGCTGACGGTGGGAGTGCATTGAACGCTCTGAGTAGTGGGGGAAGAATTCTGTGGAGATGGGAATGATTACCAACCGCCCGTTGTACGGAGGAATTTGCTCACCCATCTAGCCGGTCACTCCAACAGTCACCCATGACTTTCTGGTCCTCGTCGTCTCCGGGGGAGGACGCCGGTGGGTCATCAACGATCTGAAGCGTTATCAGCAACTTGCGAGCATGCATCTCGCCCACACGCACCTTTGGATAGTGTAACAACAGATTAAACGTGAATTTAAGTAGATCGGTCATCGCCTCTCGTGAGAGCTTTGCGCTCGCCATGATGCTCTTCGTGAGGCCGTCGAGCTTTGCGCCTATGATTTCAATAATATTTCCAGAGTGGCCCTGCGGCTTCCCCTCAACGAGGGTCTGGATGAAAGTCGCCGACGACGCAACAGATATAGTACATAAGAACAGGATGCGCGAAGCCAGAAAAATGCGCTCGGGGTTGGTAGACTTCTAGCAGAGAGTAAGACGACCATGTACACGGACGCAGTCTGAGCCACTCACCTCAAGAAGGTCAACGGCCGCCTCGCCTCCACCAACATCCTTCTGGATGAAGGTGTCCCGGGCACTGCTAATAAGGAGCAGCGAGTTTGCTATACATCGAAGCGCCTCGTTAGAGGCATCGGCATTGTCTTTGAGCGCATGAGACAGTGCCAATAAAGTAGAGAGATTTGTGGAGGTGGCAATGACCTCCGAGCCTGCGGGGTCCTTGCCCAGTGTTTTTACAGCCAAGAGGGCTGGAAAAGCATCTAGGAATGGGCTTTGAGCAGAGCGACGACTAGACGCGAGGCACAGCCACACACCCTTGGGGGCCAGTCTCCCCTTCTTTCCGTTGCCAGAGCTCACTTTCGTCACATCATCGAGAATGGTTTGAATTAGCGATTTGCGTGTCGTAGTATCAATTTGAGACGGGAAGGCTGTGCGAGAGTCAAATACCAGCAATCAGCGAAGCTAGACGAAAGAGGCATACCATCTGTGATAGACTGCAGGACAGTATTCACATCAGACCTCGAGGACGAGGATGAGAGGGCACTGTAAGAGTCGAGATAACTCGGCATTTGGCTGTGTGCAGGTGCACAGGAGGACGAGGACGTCCACGGGCGAGCAGAGAATCTGATCGAAAGGGTCAGATGCGAGAATGGCGAGCGCGCCGCTGGACAAGTAGACGTGAGTCGTGCAAGCTCGTTGACAAATGCGTGAAAGACGGTGCGGGGAGCTAAGGAGAGGATGGAGACGACGAGCGAGCTGCGTCGAGGAGAAAGTAATGTGCAGAAAGGCAAAGGGTTGCCGCCTGCAGATCGACTCCATTAACCGGTCGCCGGAACGCTCGGGCTGATGTCCCTCTGGATCGTCTAATGAATTTCCCCTGGCAACGCGACAACCGATGCAAATACACCACGGTTGCTGCTCTCCGCACACACCCTCTCACACGTAGCCTGCAGATTCAAAACCGCGGGGAAATCTCCCGTTCGTGCAGCGGAGGGTGGGGATTCCATCTTGTTGCAACCATCATAAGTATTGGTCTATTCGAGATACTGAGATATGTATTCTCCATGTACCATATACCCCATGGCACGCGACTCCCTTCACCACTTACTTGGCGACATCCGGGAGAACGAATCCACCCGTCTCCCAGGCACAGCAGGGTCAATTACTCCGACACCTGCGCGGATGGACGGCATGCGCCTGTGCCGCTGGCGACGACCGGCGCGGCGTTTTACCTGAGTGGACTGTCAGCACCAAGCGGCGGTCGTGATGCGCTACGGACGACCGTAATGATGGGACCAGCAGTTGGCCACAAACCTAGCGCGATCATTTACAGAGCGGTCGGATCGTGGCCGCCTTCCATCGAGGATGGAAGGCTTGAATCCGTCTCGAGCAGATATTGAGAGAGCTCCGGAAAGGTCTGGGCGAGTATCTCGTCCAAGTGTCTGCGATACATCTGCCCGCCCGTCCACAATGAGCGACACATCTCGCGCGAGGACACATATTCCACTCACGTCAATTGCCTGGATCTTCCCGTTCATAAACTGGTTCTCCGTCGCCGCGCGCTCGAGCCTCTCCCGCGTCAGCTGCAGCGGGTTGCGCGAGTTGTCTATATCCGTGAGCACCTGCAGCGGCACCATCAGACCGACGTGTCTTGCCATATCATCGATGGTCGCCAGATGGCTAATGACTTCGTTGCTGTGTACAAGATAGTATGTGGGATGCGTAAGCGGCACGGGGAGAGCAATCACGACCTATGCTCACACTCGCGAACCAACCTGCTTTCCACCTCCCTGTTTATCTTTTTCCTTCGTCAAATCATTGACCACGGTTGTTCCGACGTTGTACAGCGCGTTGGCTAGTCCAAGCAATTCGAGCTCGAGATCTCCCTGAACGCCAGATGGCGCTGGGGACTCGGACATGCGAGGCGAATCGGGAGCTGGGACCTGCATTGAAGACGACGGGGCTCCTCGTACCGCGCGCTGTGAACGGAATGACAGTCTGGCGCGCTAACTACCTGCAGGTTCTGGGAAACGGGAAGGAAGATAAGGACAAGGACAAGGCTCGGGCACGCGGGGACGGGTATGCCTCAGGGGTGCTGACATAACCTCGCCTTGTCCTGGCACAATGATCGTTATTGCATATGGTTCGCTAGCTCCATCAGCAAAGTGCACAAAAGAATATAATACCATGTCAGATGATCCGAGATACGGTCAGGTTTGGGCTGAGTTGGGGTTTACTGGAGACCACAGTCTGCATTATCTGTGTTTGTCTATTCGGACATACTCACACCTGGGTTATAATAGGTTGACAGTTAGAACATGTTCTTCGTTTTCGCGCTCAAAATCTCCTTTTTTTTATTTGGTAAGAACGTGTTCTAAGTCCGACTGGCCTGCGAGTCTAGGTTGACAAGTGTGGTCTCGTACGACAAGTGCCCCTTTTACAGATATTGTTTCGCGCATGCCGCTGGCTTTGAAAATACTCAAGTGCCACCGCCGTTCCGATCGTTGTGAGGCTATGACTCATGAAACAGCGAGCTCAAGCGACCGTGGATCACAGTAAATATACAAATTTCGGATAGATGAAAGCAGATATCAGATATACATAATGAGCACTACAAGTAGAACGGAATACCATACACGACTGGCGCAGCACCAGTGAGATACTTGAGCTTGCAATGCTCTCTTGCCTTGGCGACAGCGGTAACAACGGAACATGCTTGGTCGCTGCGCTCCTGCGCTCTAGATACACCAACCGGCGTCAGCTGTAAGTCATCAAAGACGACTTGCGAGAATTTATCGATATCTCTGTCCGTGACGTCCCAGAGATTGGCTACTAGAGTCGGACTAGCAGTCTGTCGCATTAGCCAGTTCACAAAGAGCCGAGCTGGTCGACTCACCATCCAGCCAACATATAGTTATATGGTGTCCCCACGCGGTCAAAGTCGCCCATATGCTTCAGTGCTCCAGACGAGCAGCCCCACAGCATTGTTGCTGCACACCGTGACAGATGCCGTATCTTGGACGAACGAATATATTGTTCGGCCCCTCCATGGCCGAAGTATCTGGTGATGTATTAGTTGCATCAGCGTCGGGGCGTCATCAGCACGGGAAGATGCTTACACGACGAGGTCGTTCTGGGACAAAGCATCAACGAGTTCTTGCTCGCTGGGTTGGCGGCCAATGACACCGTCCCAGCCTACAGACCGCATACTTTTCAGCCAGCTCGCAAAGCGATCTTCCGTGCTCTTCAGGTCTCCGCTCGGGTTCAGTAGATAATACGTCTTCCCTGGGTCTAGGACGATCCTATCGACGAGAGACTGGGAAGCTGTATTGACTTGGTTGCTGTGTATCTGTGCATCGTTGGATCGTGGTTGTCGACGAGCAAGCTCAATCCTGTCAAGGAGGAAGTCCATATTGGGCACTCGGCTGATACTTTGACCTCTCAGGACCGGGATTGATTCCCAGGGGATGCCTTGGACGTTCTTGTCTAGAATGAGGAAGGTGTGGCTATTGTCCACTGTAGTCACCTTGTCCTTGATCTTCGTCGCATGTTCCTTCAGTACGTCTCTGATATCTATCACAAGCTGATCAACGTCAACTTCGGCGATGGCCACAGGGATCCCGTGGAATTGGTACAGATCCAAGACGAAATAGACCAGGTCCTCAATTTCTTCGTCGCGACAATCAGGTGGAAGTGCCGAAAAACATTCCATCAGTGCATCATCCAGAGTGACTTGAAGTACCCGCTTTTGATCGCGCATCATCAAACTCGCGGCGAAAATGCTTTCAATACGCGTTCGTAGCGCCAAAAAAACCGTTGAAGCATACTCATGCGGAGCACTAAGGATCGCCTGTAAGAATAGAGAAGTCTCAGGTAATCGTCCTAGGGGTCGCAATACTCGCTCACCTTGAATGCGCCAAACCAACAAAACTCGATGTTCTGGAGCAAGTCCCGCAGCCTTGCATCAAGTGCAGAGCGGCCAGCCCACCAAGTCGCACGAGCGGATTTGCTATTTTTTTGGACGCTGGCTGCTTGCCTAGTTCCTTCGTCATTGAGATGAAGGATCTCTTCGAGCTCCGTCATGGCGTCGTGGAACGAAAGATGCTCATTGTCTTCAGTGTCCCTGCGCTCTTTCAATGGCAAACAAAATACCATAGATTGCTGGCCAGCCCTCTGCCGGCTAACAAATATGTAACTCTTGTCTTCAGTGACATTGATGTTCACAATCGTCCAATGCAATGGGAGATCATTACAGCTCGAGGATACATCGCTACCAGCGAAGGGTCGAGACTGGTATCTTCGTCTCACGACATTCCAATACTCCTTGAGCTGCGGTGACATTAAGAGCGCTTCTGACTCGTCATCCAAGGCATCAGATGCATCGAACCTTAGACGTCGACGACTCAGTTGGTGAGGGATTGGCGACCCATTAGACGCCATCGTAGGCCACTGCAGATCGTCAAATGCTACGGGGTCGGAAAATTTATATTTGATTGCTTCGAGCATTTCGCGTCGAAGGGCGATCGAACTAGCAGTGTCTGTAGGGTCACAGGAATGAACGAAGAAAATCGGCGAATAGAGAGAAAAGTAATACCAAATAGATGAGCAATGACCGAAGCGCTTGATGAATCTTTGTCGCCAAGAGAGCTGCGTAATGCCCGAATCATCGCCAAAGCCAAGGACGTATCTCGGACATGCGGTACACTGCCTCTGACTGCGATAGCTGACATATCAGCTTGCAGCGAATCTTCGGTGGCGTATAACAGGTTCAGGATGTCACGAGCAGTGGATGATAAGACCGGTTGACGTCGACTCGATATTCCCATCGGAATGGTGATTACTACTCATGGTTCAGTGACTTAAGAAAATGAAACAGCAACGGACATACCGGACTCAGCCAAGGAACCCAAGAACATATCACCACGAAATTGCGCATATGCATCGTCGAGCGTGAGCTTGGCCATAAGAACGCTTTTCTCTGCCTAACAGGTACACGACATTGAATTATGATGATTTCGCATTACACGATGAATCAAACTGGCCACATACCTTAGTCTCTGCGCTCAATGGCAATGAAGTAAAACGCTCTAACAGCGCTTTATATTCTCCTCCCGCGTCATGGAGCAATGACACTGAAGAAGATATAGATTTGTCAATTTAATGCGATATTTCGACCATAATTGAACTGACCATGTTGTCGTAGAACTGCCGCAAGAATGGTGGGTAACAACGCATCTGAAGAACCTTGTGAAGTCGACAGTCGCGGGTGGCTTCCAGATGACCTCCTTCCACTACTACAAGTATCAGACACATGTTGCTGAGGCACTGATGCTGCGCTCACCTGATGGCCATCCCATCGAGAGTAGAAAAGGTCTTGTCCAATTCATCCAGCATTACTATAGCCTTCTCATAGAGTACCTGGGCGTCTTCGAAATTGCGACTTCGTTGGTTGTATTCGCCACGCAGACGGACGAGATCTGCTGCATCGGGGCCAGCTACATCCGTGAGCAAATTCGTCGCTCGCATAAGTGTTGCAAAGCCCTCTTCTAGGTGTCCGAGCTGCAAGAGCATTTCTCCGCTTCGGGCCAGAGCACGACTAACAGTAGCCAGAGCATTCAGTGATTCCGCGAAGTCGCAGGCTTGCCGAACGAAGTACTCGGCCTCTCGGGGAGATCCTCTAGCGCAGTATGCATGTGCCAGTGCAAAGAGCGTCTCAAGAAGACCTTCCGCGATGCGCCACTCAATGCTCTCCATGAATGCCCTAGGCTGAAAGATTTTGTGCGGGATTGATTGCTCGCCGGCTGACTGGTCTTGCTTGCCACCATCGTCCTTGACCTCAAATGGGTTGTCATCGCCTGTGTCTGGCTTCCGACTGGGGTGGAGACGAGATAAGGTGTCTAAGGCACGATTCCACAACCGAAGCGACTGAAGGAGGGCATCCAGCGATGTTGATGGCTCGTCCTACCCACCATTCAAGATATTAGTGTAATGGAACAGAAAAGTCATCGACAAATACGAACTCGTGAATATTGAACCACGGAAAAGACATGTGCTGCAACGGCAGTTATTTCCACGACAGCCGC